CTTGAAGCCCGGGCGAGGGGACAAGTAGTAAGCCCTCCTGTGCTCAGGGAGAACGCATGAAGCACTCTTCTTAATGGTGAGGATAGAACAGAATATGTCCAAGTTAAGGGGGAGGACATACTCGTGGCAGAGGGAGATGGTCCCGACCACGTTACGGACCGAGTTCGGGTGAAGCTGGTCTATCGTAACATTGAAGTGATTCAGGACCTCCACTATGAGTGGATGGAAGGGTAGGCGCAGCCCGGCTATGAGCTGCTCCCGGAAGATTACGACCTCATCAGGGCCGTGCTCCCATGGGAAGTTACCCGCAGGTAAACTGTAGGTGTACTCCCTAGGTAGGTTGTACTGCCGAATAAGGTAGCGGAGCCTCTCCAGGGTCATGGTGGAGGGTCCGAACCTGTCCGGCATCCGACCTCGGTGAGAGGTGGACGCCAAGTTACCTGAGGCCTCCCGCGCCTCAGGGGACTGGACTCCGGTAGGGTTACCCTGAGCCGAGGTACCCACCTCGAGCACCTCGGGCTCATCTAACTGGCTATCAAAGGAAGACATAACGAAACTGAAGAAGAGCTAGGGTGACTTACCAAAGAGAGATGGACCGGACTGGGAAGGACTGACCCGAGCTAAAGGCTTTGGATGCGAGCTCAAGACTACGGCTGAGAATTTGTGGCAAAGGAAAATTGCCAGGACCCTCGCTATTTATAGCCACTATACGCAGGCATCAACGGTTGAGATCGAAACAATCTGACGGTCCTCATGAAAACCGGTTGTGCGACCTTCGAGGCAAAATCAGTTTAGCGCATTTTTTTGACGTCCGCGGAGTCTATAAGTCGCGTGACGTCCGCGTGTAGACCGTACACGACCCGAGCCACGCCTGGTAGAGCCGAGTAGAGAACCGGTCCAACCGATGAACTGGCGGACAAGAAAGCTTAGACCCCGAGCCAAATCCACCCGGCAGACCACGGACTCCCCGCGTTGGGTCAGCACCCCTAGCACGGGGAGTGGGGGGCAATTGATGTAGGGTGATTTGGCCCGACCTTGTAGCACGGGGACACATGGACATGACCTGGCATGAGTGACAACTCTGCGTAACAAGCTCACCGAGGCCCGACCAAACAACTCGGCGGGTGTAGCAGCTCGTCGAGAAGCGAGGTCCAGCCCACCCCAAGCCTAAGGCTGGAGCACCCCGAGCTCCCCCCGTGCGAGGGGACCCGAGCTCCCTCCGAAGGGACCCAAGCTCCTCCTAAGGGGCTCTGAGCTCTTCCTTCCTAAGAAGGGGGCACCCCAGCTTTTGGCTAAGTGTCCCGAGGGAGAAACACCTCGGGGCAGAACCGTCGAAACTCCTGTTCGTACTTGCTCAAGGCTCGCTTCCAGTGCGAGCACCTCAACGTACCTCGGTACCTTTGTGCAAGGAAACCCAGCCTCAGGTGGTTCAGTGCAAGGTAGTTCGGCAGCCTGCATGGAAGATCCGCATGACATCCGTACCTACCGGATCTGGTGGCAGCGCCCACATCTATCGCCAGGCGGCGTCGTGCCTGCTGTCTCTAAAAAGCATGGCACGCCTGACGAGTCCGTACCCTACAGCAATAGCTTGCATCTGCCACCTCAGTCATTGCAGTAACGGATAGGGTAGTGGTGGTTACACCTGATGTGACTGAGCTCTGGTATAAGAAGACCCCAATCCTCACGAAGCAAAGGTATTGAAGCTAGCACTTTCAACACTCTTAACTCTCAGTGTTTTCCTTGAGTTTTCCTTAGAGTTCTAACTTAGCCATCGGAGTGTTCCCGCCGGGAGAGCTCCTCAAGAACCCTTCACCTTCCTCTTCCTCTCAGGTGCCGTCCATCACAGCTATGAGCCAAGTCTCAGCCAGCTAGGAGTGCCTAGATCGTGCTGCATCAAGGTAAAAAGCAAAATGATGTGCTCCCCACTTTATATCAAAGAGAATTGTTGAAAGACAGTGGTGCAAATTTTGCATCAGTTCTTGGGATGCAAAATTTGCACTTTTAGTGAATGCAAATGAGACGAAAAAAATACAAGTTTTGCACCAGATAGGAATGCAAATCATCATTACAAATGTATGGTTGCAAAACTCAACCAAATGCAAAATTTGTATCTGGTTAGATGTGTTCTGGAAACAAAACAGAGCCTAAGGGTAATAGTAACCCCCCCACCCTATTTACATAGATTTGAGTCTAAAGTATAAGCAAAAAGTAAAAGTAAAAAAAAGAAATGTAAACTAACATCCATTAGATCATGATCATAATCTTAATGTTGTAGACTTCATTAAACATAATATCAATTCACCAAAAGGAAATCATATTTCTGAAATCTGAAATTCAGTAACATAATTTTGATTTCAGTACTGCAAAAAACAAAAATACTACACAAGTAAACAACCAAAGGTGTCTTTCTTTTAAGAAAATAATGTTTTGCCAAACCATACGTGGGGGTGGGGCTTGTTTTTCTGAAATTCCAAAAAAAAATGTCTTTTTTTGACAATAGCAATTCCATTATCTTACATTGCCACCTTCATAGTTCTGCAAGGCTGCACATGATTAATTTTGAATCATTTTCTTGGTACTGAAACTAAATACTCAGATTCAGCATCAAATCATTCAAATTGTCACTTGTCACATTGGTTCATTTAGGATGTCAATATGCTCAATTTACAAGGTCCATTTATCATGAGCTGTCTGTTAGTTGCGGATCTAGTCAGTTCACTTCACTGATCATGGTAAAATAAAAATAATAACCACAAATGAACTAATTATTCAATTTACTTGATTTGCACCAATTTGTAAATTGGTTTACAGTGAAAGAATAATTGATTTAGAATTCTAGTTTGCATGTATGGGTCTAATTGATCCGACTACAATCAGATATGCCAGCGAATCTTATGGCTGAACCAGCAATAGTATATGATTTCGAATTCTAGGTATTTGTGTTCTGTCATTATCTAGTACATGCTCAACCATTAAAATATAAGATCATAGCCCAAATCCATGCTCAATTCCTTGCAAAATGGATACTTCCACTCAAATCCACTCATCAACTTTATCCTTCCTTGTTCTCGATCAGAACTTATGGCAGTTCTAAGATTACGACGAATTTGCTCAATGGAGACAAGTATGAGAGATCGGTGTGTATCACCGTTTCAGGGACACCTAATGTTCTTGTAAGGATAACCCATGATTTATCCATCCACTAAAATCCACCCAAGCTGAAACCGTTTAACAGACAGGACTATAGGATGACATCCGTCTTCCTTCCCCAGGATTACTTGTGCACGTTCTCCTTTAGTAATATCCATTTGAAGTGTGAAATCATAGGATGGCATCCATCTTCCTTCCCCAGGAATCACACTCTCCCTGAGCAGCTCAGGCTTATGATGAAGTCCATGTTAGCATTCTTAAAAATGTATAAGAGGAAAAAATGCAAGGGAAACTGCCAGAGTGAGTGAGAGTGAGAGAGAGAGAGAGAGAGAGAGAGAGAGAGAGAGAGTAGTTTCGCAATATCACAAAATCTTTTACAAAAAGAAAGCGTAAGCAAATGATAGAAATAATAAAAATATTTACAAACCAGAAAGATGTGAAAGGACCATGTGATCTATAGACAAATTAAACCACCTAGTTACCTTGGCGTAGGTACTTGCATCTTCTTTTTATTTTGTTTTGCCAAGAGGAGTGAAAACCGGGCAAATCCAAACTTCTTCCTCTTAGAGAACTGCTTGTGAGAATTTCCTTCTTTTGTAGGCTTATGAGGAGATAGAACATCATTTCTTTTACTGAGTATCTGACCCAGCGACATCTTTGGTTTCTCAATGCTGTCTCCAGCCAACCCCATTTCACAGTCTTCCATCAGAAGCAATTTCCTTCTCAATATTTGCCCTATTGACAGGGTAGGTCTCAAGACAGGTTTTGATCCATCACTACCAATGTCCAGCCCATTGAGATCAAGCAGCCGTGAACCTCTCCTATGGTGAGATGGATAGGAATTCTTGAACTTGTTAGAGTTCAAGCGCCTTTTATGACCATGTTCTGATCTCCATTTCCTCAAAGCCTCTTCAACTGCAAACTTCCCTTTATCAGCAGCCTCCACTCTGTTCAAAGCCTCTTGTAGGGCCTTTTTACTGATTTTAACTTCTGCTTCTGCTTCTTCCACCTTCTTTAGTATCTCCATCTTAGATATATTTGCTTCATCAATTTGAAGCATTGCATCTACTACCTTTCTCTTCAAATTCTCCTCAGCTTCTTGAGCTTTATGTGTTAGGGAAGAATACTCTTTAAAAGAAAGAGTTACTCCAGGATTTTGCCAGGAAACTCTAGATGAACTCTTGCTGTTTGATAAGGCCTTCATCTCTGCTAAGGCAACCGCTTCTGCAGCTCTAGCTGCTTCTCCCATCTTTTTGGCTGCAACCAACCCGATCTCAGCTGTTTTTATACTTGTCTTGGTCTGTTCAATTTCTGAAATAGTTCTCAGAACTTTGACTTTAGCAGCTTCTGCCATCTTCTTGAACTTGCTAGTCTCCATACTCAATTCTTGGAGCTCTCTTGAAATATTAGTTGGATTATCAGAATCACCTTTAACTTTTAAATCCTTAGTCAGTTGCAGCTTCAGTCTTGTTCGGTTTAACTCTTCCTCAAGAGAAGATATCTTGGTAGAATTTGAGGTCAATCTCTCACGAGTTTTCTCAAGTGAAATTCTTTCTTTCTCTATTTTCTTGTTAAGTGTTTCAACAGAAGCACGGATTCCAGCAATATCACTTGTTTCTCTGTTTAGGTTGACCTTTGCCTGCTTCAATTCCATTAATATCATACCTGGAGAAGAAGAGGGACACAGGCTCAAACCTTCCACCGAGCCCTGATGTGTCTTAGCTATAATTTCAGGAGTATGCTTTTCCTTTCCTTGGACAACAGGATTTATCTTCTTGTTATCTGAAATTGAATCCAGGTTTGCAGTAGCTTTGAATGTTCCTCTCTGAAGCTGCAACTTCAACTCTTCCACAACTCGTTTTGTTGATTCCAGTTCTTTTAAGATGTCCAGTGTCTCCTGTTCTTTCACAACCAGATCTTTCTCCAACTGTGCAGTCTGTTCCTCTACTTTCCCTGTATCAAAATTCTTGGTGCTATGCTGCATATGATAAAAAGGTCCTTTCATTATTTAGCGTATAGTAAATCAGTAGTGGACATCTTGCATTCACATCACACTGGTGTATTTACAGTATATATGGTGGAAAAGAAAGGTAGTTGGTTGAGGCCTTAATTTCTAAATGATTGTGTCAATGCAAGTTCATTGTGCTATGTTTATATTTCAAACTAGATCACCACAGTCTCTGGGTATACTGATGCTGTGTGGACATCAAGGAGAAACAGAATTAGGATACAAAAAGAACCTGGAGCTAAATTGTTAAGATGAGGGCGGTTTCCACTATATGACCAGAGTTACACTAAATGAATTCTATACAAAAAAAGGGTCTCACTTGCCCTCCTTTTTTCTTCCTTCTGTATAAACGCAAAGTCTATCCTAATTAAGGATTCCCAGGAGTACCATAAATGACTCAAGAACATAAACTGATGGACACTATAACCTAATAAGCAATATGTGAAAATTCAAATCTACTCATGAATGAGACCCAATAGCAAGGCCTTCTTAACAATCCACAACTCAATTAAGCACCTAAAATTTGGAAATTACCAAATGAGGAGTGCCGGTTATTTCATTTCCTTTCTTCCCCCATCCTTCCTTGCTTTCCATAATCTGATATCAGAATGGAGGAAGCAAACAACTAAGCATATCTGGGTACTAGATAACTCTAAAGTCCAGGAGACAAATCCACTAGATGGTTGCAAATGCAGAACCCCCAAGCACTAAAAGAAACTACCGAAATTAGGGGAGGAGGACAACAACAATTCAGTCATCACAGTCAAGCTTCGGATAACATTACGAAGAACTTGGGTGTTCCTTACGTTTTAAACAATAAAATAAAAAAAAAATAATTGCACTGGAAACTTCCTTTCTGCATAATGTTACAATCAATGATAAGTCAAACACTATAAATTTAAATTTTAACGGCAGAATTTGAGCAAGCAAGTGGAACAGTTTCTAATTTTTATTTTTTCATAAAGAAAAGAATGATTTAGTGTTATCTAATGGGGAAAAGAGGGGGGAAATAACAAAGAAAAACATACTCTGGCTTCCATAAACTTGTGAGGAGGTCTCCAAGTACCGCTACCACCAAAGCGACTGACGGCCTCCTTAACCGACTCGAACGGCGGAGACGTATCGACCACAGCTCTGAAACTACCTTTGTTTTTGTTGTTATTACCAGCAGCATTATCACAAACTAGGGTTTCTTTAGTCCCGGTAGACGATAGGGTGCCGGACTTTGGGGTTTCCAGTCCAGCTCCGGTACCCATGTGTGGGGTTCTGCATGGTGGTGAAATCTCTCTGATGCCAGAATCTAGTGTTTCGGCCATGGTACTGCAGAAAGGTTTGGGGGGAATGGATGGAGAAGTATGAGATCCCGGGAGATCGTTAACTGAGTTTTCCTCTTTGATTGTTTTCAGAGACAAAAGGAAGAGAAGAGAACCCGTATAAATAAGAAATCGTGTTTCGGTGTTATGGCGATGACGAAGAAGTTGGCTGTAGTGAAGATTGTGACTCACTCTCACTGAACCCTCTACACTTCACACACATTACTACTAGACAGCAGACGCTACTAGAGTTAGCGAGCCAGAGGGAGAAAAAGGAAGAAGAAAGAAAGAAACGTTGGATACTTGGATGTTTGTCGAAATTTGTGTTTTCCCCCCGAAAAGCCCTTCGAATCGGAGCTAATTACAATACAATTAAGTGATGCCCAACATATATAAAGTAAATAACGGTGGAAGAAACAAGATTTGAAAATTTTTCCGGAATGTTTACGCAAGTGGAGAGATACGGATCTACAATTTTCAAAACATAGATACCCTTAATTAATTACTTTGGCCATTATCAAATGGCCTTTCCCTTTTTATGAAATTATCTACAAGATCTTTGGTTCCTTGAAATTTGTGATTTTCATAAATCCCAAGAATCCAGGTTGCTGTTTATCATACAAACTTTTTTTTTTAATTTTTTAATTTTTTAGGTTTTTGATTTTTGATTGAATATACATACATCCAAACGGGAGCTGAAGATTCCGGTGAGGACTCATCTCTAATCTACAGAAACCACAAGGGAAGATGGTGGGTAAGACGTCCGGTGGCATGAGAATATGAGATTGATCCTTACTTGGCTCTAATACAACCTGGGTTATCCTTAATCTATACAATTGAGCATGTGTTTTTTTCCGTCATATTATTACTAAATTAGTATTTTTTTTATCATATTTATTGATATGTATTAATATTCACAAAAATGGATTTTGATTTATGTGTATATCAGTCATTAAAATAAATCATTTTAATGCTTCTCTCAATGATTGAACATTTATCCATTCAATTGCTGATATAGTGCCTAATCACACCTCATTATCAATAAATGATTTATCAAATGCTTTTTTCAATTTTATAAATAAATAAAATACAGATGCTTATTTGATAAACAGAAACTATTTCAAACACATACTGAATAATAGCGACTGGCGAGTGAGTGAATTGCCTAACGAGTAACGAGAAAGTTGACCATTGGATGAGAAGATCCCTTTACCTTTACCTTAATACCTTTTTCTCAGGGATTTTCTCTTCGATTCCACTAAAATTTTGATACGTCTTTCGGTGTTAGACTGGTCATCACCGGTGACCGGCTGAAGTTTTACTACAAGTTATGATTGATAAAAATATTTTTAAATAAAAATTGATAAATATAAAATTTTTATAAAAAATCTAACAAATATTGACAGAAAGTTCGAAACACTCGTGTTTTCATACTCGAACCCTTCTCCCCCAACCATTAACGGGAAGACAAAACCTTCCTCACGGTTGTAGCTTTGGATTTGCAAGACAAATCCTTACATTCTCAATCCAAACGCAACTCAAGCCTTGTTCGTCCAACCATTAATGGCAAGACAAACCCGGTTTTGGCTTTGGATTTGCAAGACACGAGACATCTTCTTCCTCCATACTAAGCTTCTGAAAGTAAAAACAATAGCTCCAATTCTCCAAAGATATCTTTTCAAGAAAAATATATTCAAGCAGTCACGCTGTCACGCACAGGGCTTTCTTTCATGGGTTTCAGATTTCTATTTTCAAAGGATTATTGGGTTTCAGATTTTAATATGAAAAAGTGGTATTAGGGATTTTCGGACAGAAATCAGTGAGTTCATTAACTTTGTCGGTGTTGATAACTTGCCAAAATGAGTTAGAGTTAGGATCTTCAGTCTTACAAAAGATTCTTAGACACAAATCAGTGGGTTCATTAGCTTTTTTGTTCTCAATTTGTCTTGTGTATTTTGGGGTTTCATTCACCTTTGGACACTTTGATGTTTGAAACTTTCCGTTAATACCATTGCCATCGTCGCTAAAATCTACAGTTGTCGTTTGTTGCAGTTTGAACACCATTGATAAGGCTTGTTGTTGTTACTGGTTGTGGGGGAGAAGGTTTGAGTCACAGGGCTTTGCAGAGACTGCTCAACAAGTCTTTTCCGCAAGTTGCAGAATGTAAATTTTTTTATATCTTTTATCAATTTTTATTTAAGCTCCAACCGGTTGTAAGTGATGGCCAGTTAAGCATGAAATTATGTGTCAAAATTTTACTAGACTCGAAGAGAAACGCACTGAATCCGAACTGCCTTTTTTCTTCCTACCAGAATCAGATTCAGATGTCACAATTAGTCAATTATAAATAGGAAAGAAACTGAAGGGGTGATGACATAACATATCAACTTGATCGTTGGATTGTCCCTTTTGGCTTTCAGTGACACAAAATACAAAGAGTGTCCCACTGTTTACTTGGTTACTCATTTGGTAGGAGTAAGGACCTGTCAATTTTTTAAGGGATCACATGAAGGATCCTAAGGAGATTTTTGTTTGGCAAATGCCAGTGTATTCATTTGGGTTGGGAGTGGTATCAATTCCCACTCCGTCTCTTTTTGTTGATGTTGCTGCTACTGGACGTGTCAATTTTTTATTTAGAGGAGTAGTTGAAGCAGAGCCAAGGTCTGTCTGACAAGGGTTGCTTTTGGACAAGCAATGCAGATTCTTGTTGTCTATCAGGGTCTAACTAGTGGAGACTGGAGAAGATGGGAAAATTTCCTTGGGTTGGACTGTACCAAAATGTATGTCATGAATTCAGTTTCGGTTAGGTTTGGTCTTATTGGTAATGCTAAGGAGACTCATCAATTAGCCCCCCTCTACTCTCGACTCTTGTAGCGGCTTTCTCAGTCAGCAAAGCAGTTAGTAATAGCTAATAGGACGGGCCTGCCCTTGTGTTGCTACTCAGTTTTGGCAGTACTCCTCCAATCATAGAAGAGATGAAGAGGAGCTCTATAGCCTATATCAACTACTGAGGAACCACTTCTAACTTCTAAGGAGCACTTTTAGAACTATGATGATGATGATTCTTCCTCCTACTCATGGGTACCAAAACTAGATTATCAGATGATTCATTCTTATTAAGATGACCAGACCAGATCAGCATGTGGCTGAGGATGTTTATTTTTCAGCTTATAAATCAGTGGCAACCATGTCTGAACTCTGAAATCCAGGGGATCAAATAACAAATTACACACTCTCTCCACGGCCCATAGGCTTTAACTAAGATTGACCTTCATAGATGCAACTGCAGGGCCTGGACAAGATTCACTTTGGGCCAACATGACCCAGGTTGCATCCCTAATTAGGAATAAATGAGGCTATCCTTTTACCGTATATAGAAACTAGCAGGGTCTGTGTGATGCACAGGATGGGGCACCCCTCCTTGTCCCTCACCCTTGTAAGTCAAGACACTCTACTCCATCCCTGCCTGACCCCAATGGCAGGGTGGGTTTGAGGCGAAGAACCCATTCCTCATCAGGGATGGGGAATCCCCAACTTTCCTCCACCCTGAGGCAATCAATTAAAAAATTTAATTTATGGATATTTTATAAATAGAATTATAGGAATTTGGGGATATTTTAGGAATTAGATTATCATAATTTGGGGGTATTTTATAAATGAAATTATGAGATCCTAGGATTATAAAAATAAGAGAAAAACATAGACATATTTTAAAATTCAATATTAAATTCACGGATATTTTACTAATTTACCATCGAGTTCGGGGAATTATATGCAAACCCCATCCCTAATTTGGGGCAAAAGTATTTTCCTTGTCCCCACCACGTCTCTGCCCCGTCCCTATTTAAGATTTGAGAAAACTTGCCTCATTTGGTGCAGGACAGGGTAGGACCCCAGTTTTATAAGGAAAATTGTGATCCCTACAATTCTAATAATTTTCTATAACTAATTAACTAACAATAAATTACATTATTTTATGATAATTTCTAAAAAAAATATTGAAATTGCTATTCATTTGTAGTAAGGTATAGTAAATTAATTATTTACAATAACAATAAATTAATGTAAATTATTTGCTATTAATCAAAGTAAATGTAATAATAGTAAACTAATGTAATATGTAAATTACATTATTTTTAATTAAAAGTAAACCATTTGTTGTTAATTAATGTAAAACTAGGTATGATCAAAGTCAACCAAGTGGTCTAGATTGGTGTGGATAGACTTAATAATTTTCCTAAGCTATTATTATAATTATTTATTGAAATAATAATAATGGATTGTTATTTAAATAATTACAAAACAATTTTTGATAGATTAATAGATTAATTTAATTTTTATTATTTAAATAATAATAATAATAGATTAATTCAATTTTTCTAAATTATTTAATAATTATTTAGTTGAATAATAATAATGGATCATTATTTAAATAGTTTTGGAGAATATTTTTTTTCATAGATTAATTTATTATTTTTTTAATTACATATTTAAAAAATAATTATGGATTATTAGTGAAAGAGTTTCCCTAAATTATTTGATAATTCTTAACTATAATTATTGATTTTATAGAAATTAGTAAATTACGCTAATTAGTAATGTCTTTTATCAATAAATTATTATTGTAAAAATTTAATGAAAATTTTGAACATGAACATATAGGAACATTTATTAATAAATGATTAATGTAAATTATTATTATCTTTTATCAATAAATTATTATTGTTAACAAATTACAATGATTAATGTAAATTACACCAAACATTGAAATTTTGAACATTAATAACCAAAAATTATTAAATAATGGATTGCTTATTAATTTTTGGTAGATTATTAAATGATTTAATATTTGTTAAGTAATGGATTATTTCTGAAATAGTTATTTCTTTTGGTAGAATGTTTTCCATAAATTTTTAATAATTTTCATAACTAATGGATTATTTAACAATAATGAAAGATGCCATGAATATATAGGAAACATCGAATTCACCTTATTCCCCTCTCTTTGCTTGAAATCACATCTCTAAATATAAATATTGTTTGATTTAGAAATCTAAATCTTAATAAATTGTGGCTCTGTTTTTATGGGAAAGTGGAGAGAACAAAGAGGAATTTTTTTTTTTTTTTTGAAAGTTTCAATCATGTTTCATTCATTCAAGAGATTGGTACAAAGAGAAGCCAACTAGGGCCAAATAAAGATCAGAGATACATTCTCAAGACGAACAAAACAAAGATATGAAATTAGGAGAATCAGAAGAACTTCTACAACCAAAGCAAGGTGACTTAACATCACCAACAGAAGTGAATAAGTACATCTCCAAACCACCATAACTGGCGAGCAAACTGACAAGAGGAGTTACCAACTAAAACGAAAATTGACAGAGGAGGTTACATAGCCACAAGCCATGAATTGTAATTTCCAACCACTTCAAAAAACCACAAAAGACGACATCATCTATAACTGCCATCCAACATACCGAAGAACTGCCGACTGCGAGCTGCCATCCTCAGAATGCCGGAGAACTATAACGTCCATTCACAAAGCCGGAGAATTGTAACGTCCATCCACAACGTCGAAAAACTGTAACTGCCATCCGAAAAGCCAGAGAAC